GAATTATTATAGAGGAGGGAACCAACAGGTAGTGAACCAGCCAGTAGGTGGAACAAGATTTCAAACTTAAAGAATTTCTACTGTTTAGCTAGGATAGTGGTCTATTTCTACAACCAACTGCAATTTAGAATGTGAGCCATACGTCGAGAACCTTTAGAAAAAAAATGTAAAAATCTTAGATTACATTACTTTATTCTTTTGTTAACACCGACCTGAAACTATTATTTTTCTACAAATCAGTTTAGGTAAATTAATCGACTAACGAAGTGTTTTGTGGATATTATATATTAATTACTCTAATTTTAGGCATGGATATTACAATTAAGAGATTGATAAATTACCGTCTGGTGGATTTGAACAATTGTGGTGTCCTGGGTCGTGATACAATTAAGGTTTGTAAGGGATTACCAACTTTTCGAAGGAACGTATTCCTGCATCTTCAAAATTAAACACCAACTAGCTGACCGTGGCTTTAGAACACAAAAAACCACAATCGACAATTTTACCTCCGTGAGAACCTCAAACCTCATCTGATGGGCATCGACGTTCAACTTTGAAGCTCATTTCGTATCTCACTGACTCCATGCAGTTGATACAGTAATTATTCAGCTTTGAATAAATTCTGCATTGTTATCGTGTACGATGGTCTTTGCCGTCACATAAAAGCCCACCATTAAACTATATTCTGAGCCACTACGATGTACTTTGCACAATGTGTCCAAGAGCTGATTCAATGTTATCCTCGATATGGTATGTGTTGACGTTTTAGAAGTGTCAGGACCCACCACAAGAAATATTTCGAACCGTTGAATAAATACCAATTACTCAAGGAAGGTTCAACTCCAGTTCCACCCCCTACAAAGATTTGACACTATATGATACATTTAGCTGAAAACTTGACCGACGTTTCAGGGGTACTTGCTGTCTTTATAATAAGAGCGATCTCATCGCCCTAATGATTTTCAGAGACTGATCGCTATAAAATTGTCTTAAAATGGAGGCAGCATAACAGCCGTTTTGTTAGTATCCCATAGAAATTAAACCCTGGATATGCTACAGGTTTTTAAATTAATTCCTGTGGTTAATTTGTACAATTAAACAACGGGATATAAGTACGTATATACACTATGCCAAGTTATGTGGATTATGGGTTAAAGTGTTTCCTATATTGCAGCTGAGAAGCTATGGCGAACATTAGCATGGACAGCCCTTACAGCGTTGGGCAAACTTGGCTTGGATGAACAGAAATAACTGTGAATAGCTCAGAAAGTAAGAAAGGTGTTCTGCCGTCCCCTCCAAATACCTAGCAAAGGTCTTTCAAGCAAAGTCCTTGGTTTTGTTAAGGGACTTTTATATCTTCTATTCATTTTTTAAAAAAAATTTAAGCAGGTGGCAACTTATCTCCTTACTGGTAATAGTCTTCAGTTTCCAGAGTAACCCTCACTTAACCTAACATACCGGGACATGGTTTGCAAATATCAGGGAGCCACTGACTGTCTAAATAACTATCTAGTATGATAACCTGAAGGTTGTACCTCTGTGTTCAAAGCATGCCATTAAATGTGTCAGGTGCCAACCATAACTATCGAACTTACAAGAAAGCATGTCATTGTGTTCTTTAAACAATATACTATAATTATTACCTTCAAAAACACCATAGTTAATATGTATAAAATTTCAGTGTGTTTCTACGTTTGAAGAAGTCCATTTCGTTGTCCTATGCCTATTCTGGTTGAATTAAGTGTGTGTCGAGTATTGGTAAGCACAACCAAGCCTGTCAAATATTCACCTCGCTGACGAAAGATGCCATGTGGCCCTCTTAGGTACTGAGAATATAAGTTCGTGCTGCACTCACAACCAAATCTAACAAGACTGAAATGGTGTTTCGTTGGAATACAAGCAAATTCAAATCCTTGCACAATATTCTATGCACTTCGGACGTCATCCGAAAATTACGTCAAGGCCAATGACATCGTTAGTGGCCATGACGTAGTCACTCAGACGATTCTGTGTAACAGCATCGTCGTCTCACTTAGAGACATCCACATCCGTCATATTGGCATTGCCAAATACAGGAAATTAATAACTACGATTTTTAAGTCGTAAGCGGCTTAATACCCATAACAGATTTCATGAAAATCCACTCAGTCATTCTTCATTCATAACAGGAATGTTTGTAAGTCATAATTTTTATTAATAACGTTGTAGTGCGTGATATCGAAGTAAAGTGTTCATATGAATTCTTTCCCATTAACACATTAATTTGGGAGGGATCTCCGACTGATGGGACCACGTGGTTTTCGGCGTTCTGTAGAGTAACTCAAAAAGTTTTACTAAGCACACTTCCACATAAGCTCCATTAGTAGCGCTCAGGATATCTAAGCGATACTCGATTTCAGCCCATGTGCTATTCAGCATATCAGATGTGATGGTACAGATGACATTCGTAATTTTTCTGCGGAGTTCAGCAACATCGCTTATCGGGGTGGCATAAAACCTGTCTTTTACAAAATCCCACAAAAAATTAAGAGAGGTTACATCTGGATAACGAGGTGGGTACCTGATTGGTCCATCGCTGTGGAAAGGTTCTGTCCAAAAGTTCGCGCACATCCATTTTTTATCACATTGGGTTGCTGAGGTAGAATTATTACATCATGTCCAGGTAAATGATCCCGGTTATATACAGTTGGCTAAATAAAGAAGAAGGATCCGATGATTCTGTCTTTCATAATCCCACACCAAATATTGATCTTCTTGCTGTCTCTGACGTGTTCCCGAACACTATGTGGGTTTTCTGATCCCCGGATTCGAATGTTGTGGCGAGTCACTTGAACTCTAGTGTGATTTCTTTCCAACAAAACTTGAGTAATTTACCTGTGCACATGATACGGTTACATCCTACCTCAACCTCTTTGACTACCCAACAAACGCATGCAATGACAAAGGATGAAGCTCTTGGGCATGTAATTTTCTACAGTTGCCTATCCTGGAGCTAGGCAAAGGATTATTTTACGTAAGGTGAAATAACTTCTTTTCAGAGCTTGAGCTACAAATCACCTCTCAGCTCACTTGTACGGAATGTTAATTTGTTGCACGCAAACAGCCTGACACGACATAATATGCTCGTAATTTTCATAGACCTCAGATCACGTATCTCAGTTCCTTTGTAGAATGTACAAGACTTGCACCAGATTATCTCCTGAAAAGCATTCATTCCCCTTTTGTGATCTGAGACTTTGTTATGTTCAGTTTATTCATTGCCATCTCTAAGAATCCAATAAAGTTGGTATCCTTGTCTCGTAAATGCCACAATGCCCCGCCGTTCTTTACTCTTAAAAGTCATACTCACTGTGCTACATATTTTGTCATTACGAAGTTCGAATATCCACTGTTGCTGTTTTGTTATGTATCCTGCATATAGTCCCATGATCGTTTTTGCAGTTACAAACGGGAAAAGTGAGGTTAGCGCTGACAACAGGCAATTTAATACGCTCGAAGCCACAATGTTCAATTTTGCCATCATTATAGGAGATAATTCTGCCACCTGGTTGAAGACAACATAGACGCCATGGTATGTAAATTCCCGAAGGTGATGTAACAATGTAGTTGGAAAAGATACAGTTTGCATTCGCTTTTTATTCGGATCCAATTTGTTTATATACTACAAGTATATCAGGGGTTAAAACTGGTGACCGCAGGAAAAATCCGGATCACAATATAATATTATACAAATTTAATAAATACAGTTTTACGTTCCGTAACTTTGTAAGTGATGCCTAAATCCGGAGAAGCAGAGCTAAAATGTGTCTACTTTTGATCTGGAAAAGTAGTTTAGACCGATGACACAAGTCATTTGAAAATGTTTCATCGTTTAAACGCTGACAGAGAATAATAATAATTGGGACCAAATTACGAGAAGATGAAATACGCAGAAGGGCCAAAGTATGTTCATAACATTTTAAGTTGAAAAGTCGTGTATTGTCAGCGTTTACGGGTTCTTATACTGCTGAGAAACTTAAAAGGAAGATACCACGTAGGGAACTTAAGGATGGATGGAAAATTATATCAAAATATACCTTAAAACATGTGATGTGAGGGCGTGAACTAAATTCAGTTGACTCAAGATAGTGTCAGGTGGCGGGTAACACGGTAATTAACCATTGCGTTCTATAAAAAGTGATAAATTTCTTTACAATTAAGCGACTGTCAGTTCTTCAAGAATGATTTTATCTGACTTGTTAGTTAGACGGACACTTCAGACATTATTTACAAAAATCCGTAGTTTCGACTTGATCTTCTTGTAAAGTAGGGGTTATAATGGATCGAAATGAAATTCACTGGAGTAAGCTCCTTTCGTGTAGACTTGTTGTATTGCAAAGCATTGGCTAAAAAGGATAAAATTCGACGGGCTGCATGAAGCAAGGACCGACTGCAACCTAAATTTAATTCTCCAGATCCTCAGTACACTCTCAATACTAAATTTAATAGATTAGTTTTTAGTAATTTAGACCAGTGGTATTCAACCTGGGGTACGCGAAGACATCTTAGGGAGTACGTGAAATTTAAAAAGAAATATTATTTTGTGATAAACACTGAATAATCAGTAATGTAATTTATTTAATTTATTTTAGATGTAGATTATATACTATGTATAACTTGAATTATACACCAACAGCTTTGGGGGTACAAAGTTCAAGAGAAATTATATCTGGGGGTACGCGAACAAAAAAGGTTGAATACCACTAATTTAGAGCATGAACCGTACGGACAAATGTGATCATTCCATTTCTGTTTTCATTTCTATACTTCGTCAACAAAAAGCGAAAAGGAATAATATCCTTGTGTGAGTGATTTAATGATATCCTGACATTTCAAAAATCCAATAGGGATTTCAGCAGTTGTCCGTAAGCACATGTCAGCTCCGTGTAGCTTCAACGTACATGGGAATATTTTTGTTCATGATATACGAGTCCCGCAGTTATTACCTTACTTGGCAGCTGAATTGCATGCAATCACAGCAAAAAGAAAAAAAGATGACAGACAAAAAAGAGCGAAAGAGTACAACTGGACAGACTGAAATTAGCGTCTCGCGTGCATTGTGAACTACATCGTGTTCTCTTGTTCCCACGTCCCGACGTGAGGTTGGAAGCTGCAAGCGATGCATTTCAGAACACGGCAATTTTTTTTTAAATTTCAGGCGTTTCCTCCACGAAGGACTCTTTCTTCTGAAGCCAATAGTCTATCAGCTAGTCTAATTTCATTCGTTTTAAGCACCTGAAGTTTCATTATCGAGCTCACAAGAGTCCGCCATCCTGAGTCAGATGAATCCAGTCCACAACTCATAACCAATTTTTGTCACATATTCTTTATATCAGGGCTTTCCTTTTATCTGCAGAGAAGTACCTCAAGTAGCATTTTCTCCGAAACATTCTGACACTTAATTATTTCCCCACGCGTCTTTCACGTCCAGCTTATTACACCCTAGACGACAGTCTTCTGGTTTGTAGCGCCATGTAGTCTGGTAAAGTTTATCAACGTTTCAGAGGTCCTCGCTGCCTCCATCATCAGGGCGATGAGTGATGATGGCGCCAGAAAGGGCCTCTGAAACGCTGGTGAACTAACAAACCACACGGCACGACAACCCATAAGACAGCCAGCCATCTTCATACTCGCTGCCGTGAGAACTTCAGATACCACTTATTATTTGCACTGCGACTACCACCACTAATGACGCCTGTTAGTCTTGATAGCTTAGTAAGCAAAGTGAAAGGCTGTGGACTGGACTATCGGAGATTCGGTTTGTAGCACGGGCTGGGACCGCGTTCAGACTGGCCAAGGGTCTCACCGATCCTCCTGTGCAGTGGGTAAAAACTAAAAAAGTAAAAGCTGTCTCACTATCCGCCATGTAGGCGCTTCGAGGAGAGAGGAGGTATAGATCCTGCTCATTCTTAACCTGGGTGGAGGTGAGTGATTAGCGTCTCGCCCCGGCCGCGCTTTAGTCCCGACAAAGGACCTCGGTACCCATTGTATAGGAGGCTTGGTGGGCCCCAGAGGCTAGAGGAAAAATCCTTTGCCCCCGTCGGGGATCAAACCCCGGTTGTCCAGTCCGTAGCCAGTCGCTATACTGATTGAGCTAACCTGTGCTGTCGGTACCGGCGGTAAAATGGCTGGGGCCATGGAAACCATCTACTGTCTGTTTCTGGAATGCGTGGAGCTGCATCTCCACTCCCCATAGACTTCATATGGCGGTGCTGAGGCACAGTGATATCTTCACTACATCCCGATTGGTTTTGGGACCACCCAACAATCGTATGAGATCACACCGAGAGACAATTCGGTCTGAACGCCCAAGTTTATGATGGCCTATATGCAGTTCAACACTCTGTAATATTTGAAATGATTCATGACACATGCCGAGGCTACAAGGGCCGGGTATGTTTCATGGCGACTGATCATCTGAGTGAAACAAAGTGAAGCTTTGAGTGTCAACACATGCGGGCGGACACAAACCCGCATCAGGAATTTTTGCCGTCATTTAATTACGTGCCCTGCCTAGCACCAATAGTTTCAAAATGAAAAAAATTTCTGATAAAAAAGCAAAATTTAACAAACAATTAGCTACTGTAAATAAAATCTTCTCAGGCAATCGGCCGCGTCAACTGGTTACCGTAGTAAACCGACATTTCGGGAACCAACTCTGTCCCCATCATCAGCGATCTGATGTGACTGGATACCTCGGAAGAGTTTACTGATTGTACTCGCCGCGAAAGTCTCAAATCCTAAATTAGCTACTAGTTTTAACACATTTGGCAAATAGAGAAGGAAATTCAGATTAAGTTTCTAATTAATTTGTTTCCTATTTCCTACGTTCCTTTTTGCCTTCTCTTTCTCTTGATTGTTTCTCTCTTTCCATTTTCTTAATTCCTTCATTACTAACGCCCATCTACCCTTTTCTTATCCTCTTTGATTTTTCTTTCTTTCTTATTTTCTGGTCTTTTCTTCCTTCGCTCTTTTTTCTATTTTCCTTCTTACGTTATTTTTAGTTCTCCATTCTTTTCACCACCACAGAACGAGATTCTGTATTCTTCTGAATCCCCTAATGGACACGCAGTCTGCTCTGGTTTCTATATTGAATCGAAACACAGGTAAAATCCCATGCAATCAAGAAAATGACTACCTCGAAATGTCTTCATAATGCGAGAGGAAACGTGATGACAGGAAGTAGCAGACAGGCAACTAATTTGACATAATGAACCCTGTTTCCGAAACAAATGCAACTAGCAGGACTGTTCATGATTGTGCTGTAACAAAAGAATTACTCTGTTAATTCCTTGTGCTGTTCAGGCCAAGTTTCTTAGAGTCGCATTATCAGATTGACAGAAAGCAAAACTGCTATTTCTGCACGAAGTTGTAGTTGTAATAATTAAAACACGAAATTACGACAATCCCGAAAAACAAAATAATTTAACCTTCTCGGTCAGAAGGGCATTTTAAGAAACTGTTATATTTATGACTGTCACTCTGCCCTTTATTTGTCTGATATGATGAAAAAAAGTTATAATCATATTCTATAAAACGTGGTAAATACAAATACAATAAAACACTCCTGATATATTTATATGGATCTGATACTTCTGAAGTTTCCTGACAATGCCCGGAATGCTACAGTAAGAGGATGTAACATATCTCTAAAGGCGGGATATTTTCTGTGTTATTGTGGCATATTGTGTTGGTGTGCACGTTTATTGCAAGCGTTTGACCTCTGGTATTGAAATTCTCGTCTTACAAGAGACCAGTGTCCTTCGTGCTTTGAAATTCGCAGTCAGAGCCAACACTCAACACAGCGAACATTCCTACTTGTACTTCGGTGGTAGTAGTATTCTAACCTCATTACATTTAGGCTCTAAAATATAGTGAGCAGAGGAATCTAGACAGTGACTGATTGATTAATGCATCAAGCAACATCTAGGGTTATACCAGACTGTCAAATCATAACACAACCATTTGATAACTAGACTAATTTAAATGTTAATAGTGGCATTTCATTTACTCTGACATGATTCGTTTTAAAGTGATTTGTTTGTGAAAATCAGATGGAACGCTTTAGGATGAAGTAGACCAGGCTTTGAGGGATGTATTTTTTCCGTTCAAACCCATGTAACTTCTTCTGAGGTCACTTTTGTGCTCTGTGTAAAATAACATTTTTAAAAAAACTTTTGTTTCATATGGAAGTGAAACAGATCAGTAACAGAAGACATAGACTGTGTTTACGTGAGAACCGCGTTTTGGGAATATTTTGACCTAACGAGAGGAAGTAAAAAAGAATCGGGAAATCTTCATAAGTAGGAACGTCATACACGAGCACAATGAGAAGGATTGTCGGAAAACCGAAAGGGACCTCTTCGTAGATCTGAAAGAAAGTCTGTGAGGGGTGTTTGTTGTTTCTCGGCTCTACAACCCTGTTGTGGGTTTTCGCCGCCTGCTTTAAGGAGGTTTCTTGGTCATCAAGTGTGCATTTATGAGTAGTGAGTGACCAGCCCACTGAATCTGCACAATTTCTATTCAATCCTGATTTGACTGCCAGAGCCATCTAGCAGTTAATCAGGAGACTTTTGGGTGAGAAATGGCCGCTGAATTTTGCTTACGAAACATCTCGTATCATGGTGTGAGGGGTGTGGACTGGGTAAAACTTGCTCAGGGTGGAAATTTGTCGCGGGCTGTTGCAACACGGTAAGGATGAGATTTGAAGTTCTCACTGCAGTAAATATTACGAAGTCAATTTAATCCTAATGATAAAGATATTTATATTGACGATATTATCCGAATATGGAAAAAATCAGCAAACCCAGGCATAAAACTTAATGAAAATATCTCAATAAATACCATACTTTTTGCAGATGAACAAATAATTTTACAAGAAAATGAAAATGAACTCCAAAAATCTACTTTCCAGCTTAACCAAATTTGCAAAGACTACAATATGAAAATTTCAATAGCTAAGACAAAAACTATGACATTTAAAGGCAAACTTCCAGCTAGAACGAAAATTGTAATAGACAATACAATCATAGAACAGGTACCCCATTGCTCCTACCTTTGTTGTGATATCACCTTTGGTTATGACAATGATTCACATAGAAAATTAAACAGATTCCGACGCATCTGTGGAACCTTCAAGAAGACCCTAAAGAGAAAATCACGGAAGGACACGCAACTTAGGTTTTATAAAGTGATAGCGATTCCCACACTGCTCTATGGATCAGAAACATGGACATTAGGAAAAAGAGACACGAGCAGAATCCAAGAGGCAGAAATGCAATACTTAAGATCTATTAAAGGATGTACTAGACTAGACAGAATAAGAAACGAAGACATTAGGAAAGAACTTAATATTTTTAATGTAATCGACAAAATTGGAGAATATCGAAGAAAATGGAAAGAACATGTGGAACGAATGTCTGAGGCAGACTTCCTAAGGATGCGCTCAGCTACAAACCTACCGGGAAAAGAGATCGAGGTCGGCCAAGAAGAATGGAAGATCAATTTGAAGCAGGAACAGGCATTAGTGCCTAATCCATAATGATGATGATACATTCATCAGAAAAGTTGGTAACCACTTTCGAGGCTTCATGTCGTCACAACTCAGAAGGTCACAACTTACATGGTAAATGAAGCTTTGGGTTCCATAAAAACAGGTATTTTTACCAGCTTTTCAAGAAATATCGTTCACCGTGACGTTAGTTACTTTACTGCAAAATAACACAGCAACGCTTTACAAAAGTTGGAAGTATAGGATTTCTTCTTAATAGTCTCAGTTAAGAGCTCTGCTAGTTTTAGGAGTCTATAAAATATTCTGCACATTAGACTCAGTGTATTCCGCTTGACAGCAGCGACGCAAGGATGCGGGTTCGCGTACTATTACAATAACAGATGAGTAACGAACGACTCACTAGATGAAAGCAATTCTGAAAGAGAAGTAAATTGATTTAATCTACCCGTATTTCATATCATGAAGCTATGAATAGAGCAATAAATTCTAGACTCCCTTTTCTGACAAACATTTGCACTTCCCGTTCATTGATGAGTCATAAGTCCTAGCCCTTATGTGTCGGGCGGTTCAAATCCAGGACACGGCTTGATCACAAAAGACCAAAAATATGCAAATGTATTAGATTGTTTTCCAAGGTTTTATGCTAGATGCAAGTTTTGTGGAATAGCATATTTGAAAGGAAATTAAAGGCAAAACGTTGGGTCCACATTGCAAGACATGAATAACAAGCAAAATTATACATAACGAATAAAGAGGTTATTTTTAACGAAGGCGAAACGATCAGAGATTGTTTAATGAAGAGCAGAAATGTCCGGTGTACATCGACCGGATGTTCTAGTAGTAGGTTTGCTGCGGGCCCCCGGATGTGACTGCCCTTGACCCTTCCTTTCTTGTAGCCCGCAGGACACATACACATTCCAGTACCAAGGGGTGACCAATCTGCTCACTTGAGTTACTGAAGTCAACTTGAGCAGTTTCCAACTACGTCGCTTCACATAACATAGAAACAAAATAAGATTTACAAGCTGAGTCTACAGCACGGTTTTTAGGTCAAAGTTGGAGGATAACATTAAAATACATATTTATAAATTCTTTCAATATGACGCGGAATTTAGACATTTGAGAGCGACAGCAATTGCGTTTTTTACAAATTGAAGGTTTGTGGCAACCCTGCGTCGAGCAAGTCTATCGGCGCCATTTTTCCAACAGCATGTACTCACTTCGTGTCTCTGTGCCACATTTTGGTAATTCTCGCATTGTTTTTTTAGACATAATGCTATTGCACACTTAATAGACTACAGTAGAGTGTAAACATAACTTTTATATGCACTGGGAAACCAAAATATTCGTGTGACTCGCTTTATTGCGGTGGTCTGGAACAGGACCCGCAATATCTCCGAGGTATGCCTGTACTTACTTTTATGTAGGTGAAATTTTCCCACTTACCGTGAGACGGCCACACATTCTGATCAAAGTGTTGAAAATCAGAGAGCGTAAATAACAGCAAAATGGAAAAAACTGCACAATAAACAGCCTCATAATTTGTACGTAATCGTCACCAAATGGGTCATCCAATCAAGGAGGATGAAATGGGCGGCACACGCAGCACGCATGGAAGAGATAAAACTTGCTCAACAAAACACTTGGAAGAACTAAGCGTTGTCAGAAAGATAATATTAAAATAGATCTAGAAGGAAATGGGTGTGAGGGTTTGAACAGAATCATTTGGCTCAGGATAGAGTCTAGTAACGGGTTCTTGTGAACATGGTCATAAACCCTACGTGCTTCAAAAAGAAGAGCAACTTGACTAAACGAAAGACTTAACTGTTTCTCAGGGTGGGGCTTAGCTCCATGGAGTTAATTGGCTCACATAAACTGGTTGTCAAGATGCGAATGGAGGACATTCACAATCACGGCAGTGAACCTACGCGTTACATACGGGAGAAATACAGTAAGCTGCTCAGATAGTCCGAAAAATCTAGAATGGTACCGCTGAACCAGCCTGCTCGAAAGCCGATACCACAGCTAAATGAAACACCACATCGAAGATACAAGTTAGGAAATGTTTTTCCAACTTGTGAATGCTCTTTTATAATTGGAGTAATTAGTTTTGGAAGGCTGTTCATTCTGTAAACAAGTAACCTTCAATAATCTTTATTTTAGGCATTCTGTTGTGCAATATACTATAATAATAAAAGGCATTTTCCGTCTACACAACTTTATTCCTTAAAAGTGTCGTATTTCACCACGCCATGTTTCAGTCAGCTCTGGCCATCTTCAGGTCGTACATAAAAAGGTATAATTTAAAAATGTGGCTTTTCTGTGTGACGTTTGCTGTGTTTAAAATATATAAAATAATAAAAATAAAATAGTAACTGTCATCCAACCACAACTTAAGTGCTAAATATGCGTCTACAATTGATATATTAGGTATAATAAAATAGAAAATATTGCCAACACACCTTCCATTGATACTCGTAAATATCCTGCAGGATGCATTTTACATACTAATAATTCCCAGTAATAAAATTGGTAGTGGTTGGTATTGATAAAAGTGTACAGGTCTTCCTTTTTTGTACGCGAGAAATGAAAGCGAATATTTATTTTTTAAACATGTGAAATAGTAGCGTGACTTACGTAGTTGATGAGGCACTGTCAATATCTTTTTCCTCTCGGGTACTATTTTGAATTACCAAATCTGTAAGGTTAAATAAGTGGTACGGCAATGTAATAACTATTTAACGGGGTGTGTGAAATCGAGTACTTACGTAAGAATCGATCCGCGTTGTGTTACACAAACATGGAGCTGTAATGAGACTGCTCATCGGTGACTGCACAAGCCTTAAGTAGATAAGTGATGTATGTATTAGATGTCGTCTGAAGACTCTTCTTACTAACGTTATAAATGTAAAAAATTTCATGTATCTTCCATTGGTAGCCAATTTCAAAGTCGTCATTGTATCTTTAATTGAACCATAAAAGTGCTGGGTGCTTTTAGATTTATTGAGCTTATTTTGAATTGGTTATATTTTCTTTTATACCTGAATATGTTTCTTATTGCTGACCGAAAGCACCATGGGCTTAGGAACCCTGATCCTGATCATCTACGGCTTCGCAGAATTCACATTTGTTAAGACATCTATGAACTGTTTCTCACGCGAGTCAAGAGGACTTGAAAATTAGATATTCTAACAGGTCTATTTATTAATTAAGCCGATCTCTAAACAAAAGCGTGATAGATAACGGACTTCTGGAATACAGTACTCACTTCTGAAACGTCGGTAAACTTTTACGAGACTACACGGCCCAGTATCCCACAAGGCTGTCTGTAATCTTCATACTCGACGCCGTGAGAACCTAAAATCTCACTGGGAAAGAATTAGACCATGGCTATGAAACAGATTTTCTTTTTAAGACACAAAAGAAAATTCTGTGCTTATATTAGTGCTGGGTTGATGCTCAATAAGAAGGAAGTGCAGTAGAATTTGTGATAGAAACAAAACAAGGTTTGACGCCCTCACCACATCGACTGTATCACGTCAACCCCGAAGACATAGGCAATACCGTCCTCCGAAACGTCGATTACCACCTACGAGACTACACGGCGTCACAACGCACAAGGCCATGGCAGATGAAAATAATTTGACACATCGCAAGACTTTTGAAGGACAGTGAACAAAGTTGACAATGTGCGACGTGTCTGGTACACCAACTGCACCCAATAAAACAATCGATTCAATATTCGTACATTCACAGAACTAAAGTAACTAAATCCATGGAGTATTGTCCCTGAGAAAGACATTCATGAAATCCGAAAGTCCAATTCCATCCTCATAAGAGCTCTAATCTTCAGCCAGATGAACCAAATCCACACCCCACACACAAATACAATTTCTCTACAATCTTTTTTAAATATTATCCTCCCATTTACGACTACGTTTTCGGAGTATCTCTTGCCTTCAAACTTTCCAATCACAATTTTTCCGAGTCTCTCACGTCCCCATCTCACCCTCCTTTATTGCATCACCAAACAATATTCGGTGAAGAGAAAAATTTATGAGGCTCCTCATTACGCAGTGTTATTCAGTCTGTTATTTTCATCCTCTTTGGGTCCCTAACACTGTCCCCTGACACCATCAATCCGTGTTCCCCCTTTTTGTCGAGACCAACTTTCAAATCCGTACAAAACAACAGGTAATTTTTTTATATTTTAATTTTGTTTTTAGACAGACGGGAAGACAGAGGACTCCGAACTGCATCTAGCAAGCACTGCCTGAATTTAGTCTGCTCTTAATTTCTTTATAAACAGGTTCGATTTGTTACTGTTGAACCCAAATACTTGCAACTTTGCCTCTGCATAAACGTTTTCGTCCCACTCTGGTGACGGAGATATTAACTACATTTACTTGTAGAGGAACCTTTTCACTAGCATCTACCCGAGTTCTGTGTTCTTTTAAAAATGAAGTAACATCATCAGCAAAGACCAGAATTGTATGTGTTCCATTCAATTTCAAACCTCCGAATATTCTTGGTCTTCCCTAGTGGCGTTTAAGCGAAGTTTAAAAGCAATGGTGATAAACCATCTCCTTGTTTTGATTTCTCCGAATAGGAAATGCATCACAAATATTTATGTACTGGGACCTTATTTTAGGTTTAATTTTTAAAACATTTTAATTGGCCCAACAGTTACTAGTTGCACATTAAAAGAGTAAATAAATACATCGGGTTTTTGTATCACATGCTAAAACACGCTAAATCTCGTATTTTCACTTTTTTATTATTTATTTTGTTGTATTTCCATATTTCCTGTATTTGTTAAATTTATCTTTTTCTCTTTGTTTATTTATTATCATTTTCTTTTTGTAAGTACCTGTTTGACTGTCTTTCTTTTTCATTCCGCTTACACACGAAGCTCTTTGTCTCTGGACAACCCTGGAACGCGTCTTCGTAGCCAGCTCTTGAGGCTGTTCTCCAGAGCGCTGTGGAAGCTGAACCATAGTTGATTATAGCTCTTTTTGCTGCCTCGTGGATCCGCGAATGAATCCGGGTGCTACTCCAGCCGTCTTCATGCAGGTCTTACTCGAGGCTGCTACACAGCTGATGTTCCACTTAACTTCCCTATACTAAGGCTGCATAAAGCGTGTACTGTAAAGTCTCGTTTCCGACAGCATAAAATGTCACGTGTGCCGACGAGCAAAGGCGCAATCGGCTTCCAGATGGCAAAGTCGTAGTCGCTTCATGAGCACTGTTGAGGCCTCGCAGATCTCTCGAATAAACTACAAATACGTCACTGACGCATCACAGATTCAAATATTCTCTGGGATACGTAAAGGCCAACCTCTTACGAACTTTCAAGAAACGAACAATTCGTATGTATCAACATTTCACGTGTGCACTGGATTCAAGTGACTCAGGGTGGTAACGAGTGGCGACTTTTATGAACATTATTAACTCTGGGTTTCACGAAGATGAGAGAATTTTTGACCAGGTGAGTAATTATCAGATTTTCGAGAAAAAGCCTACACCAGATAGCGAGTTTTATAAATCCTGTTTAACCTTTTAGTAAATAAAGGAATTAGTCAAAATATAGTACAGTCCATTAAATGACTGTAATTTCGACACTGATTACCAAAAAATGTAATTAAAATTGACAAAAACTAAAAAGATGTAACTCCTTGCGTTAACAGGCCTAGGTTCAGATGAGGGAAACTAACGTATTTTTTACATGCAAGTATGCCATGTCTGAATGTTAGTGTGTTTGTTTATAATTTATAGTTACCAGTTTTTATAACACGTGGATGTTTTCCCACGGTCTTGCGTTTCTTATTCTCCATTGTGTTGAAATAGTGTGGGTAATAACCTCTCCTGCAGCTCAGATCAAATACCTCCGGCATACCTTCAAAGGCATAGGAATGAGAGCCAGGGAACTGAGAGAGTGCAATGTATCTTCGTACCACCCAATACGTTTAGTCTTACATTCGTTGCTGTAAGCCGTCTGACCACCGTGCGATCGAGATGTAAATCGTACCAGCAAATGACCTGGACTGCCTAATATAATCTACAAATTAACTACCACGACCGTCCCAGGACACACGTTTCTCTTACACACTGAAATCGATATTATTTTCACGAAAGGAATGCATTTCCTGAATATAAGCGAGGTTCGATGCGTGTTCAAAACTACATACATCGTATAGATTCTCTCGTTAAAAAAACACAAACATATAATTTTTCGAAAGGCGTGCCCATTTCAGAGACGTGTCAGAAGATGTTCAAAGTCTTGTCATTTCTGTGACATCCCTTGATAAGTTACAGGAAACACTCTACTATGTATCACATAGAGAAATCTATTAGCAACTATGCCTGGAAGATCACGTCATAAATATCTAGTTCCATTGTCGTATAGAAGGTATGACCTTATTTCGATTCAGAATTTCCGACATAGAATAATATGTCTGCAGATATACCGTCAAACTTAACTATCCGCTTTAATATTATCTTCTGGTCTTCTACTGTAATGTTTCCCGATTAAAATATCATACGCATTTCTCAACTCCCCGTGTGTAAAATGCAGGTTTCATTTTGTATTTATGAACGTGTGTATGCTTATGTTATGAAAATATTTATATGGCAAAGCAAAAGGTTGATTGTCTAATTTCCAATTGACTGCTGCATAAATGCGGTAATGTTGCCTCCTCTGTTTGTAACGGAATTCCATCGGACCTGCACGTTCTTTTGTTTCAGATTTCTGCTTAACATAAGTACTCGATGTCAGATAGAAAGCATATTTGATGCACAATGAAGATGCCACGCCACCTACCTCCCTCCCTCGTGAATAAATTTGGTTACAAGATAAAAAGTGGGCGATGAGACGAATGTCAGCGACAACGGCACCCTTACGATCGTAAATAAGCGCGGTTTCATAACCAAATTTCCCAAGCTCTGCCCTTCCAAACTGAAGTGTCAGATTAGGCAGTGCTGCACAATCTCGAAGTTGTGAAGATTCGGCCAACATTTTTTATCCTGATTTAAACTGATCTGTGCGCACTCTTATGTTATCAGTAGTATTTCATGATGACACCCAAGCAAATGTTCACCATGACCTTAACATTGTGTGAAACGTTACGTAACATGACAGCCTGCATCAGAGCAATAAAGGCCTACTACAACCAGACAAACCGGTCTGACGTGAGAGCAGACGCCTCGCATAGATTCAGTACTGTTCTTTGTAGCATCTTATGGCGAATTCTTCATGGGGGCTATTATAAAATCGGCGAACCGGATACTCATGGCGACTGGGTTGCGTCCCACACCGATTCAATGGGAAATGCAAAGGTTTTTTTTTATTTTGGACTTCCCGCATACTCTGTTTAAAGTTTTTTAAATACCTTAAAAATCGCAATATTTCGAAGCAAGATTTAACCACTGACACGTAGCAAGTTTTGAAACATTAAAAACACTTTCAACAGACGATGGATAAAACGCAAAATAAATAAATCAATCCGTAATTACCATCGCTAACTCCAGAATGAAGTAAACTGATCTATCAGTAATTCATTTAAAACAACGAAGACATTTAATGTATAATTTCAAAATTGCACTGTAAATCTATATTTTTCTTTGTGGTTTGCACTTGGAACACTTGCATCTAATACTCTAATCCCAAATTCATAAATTTATGTCGAGAACGTAAGTCCTTAGTGCAGAACTTCATCAAATCCATTCTGCCATAGACTGGCAGATGGACGAGCGAAATTAAGACCCTGAGATTTATCGACATTGAAGAAGGAAAATAAGTTAGCACCATCTTGCACCGACGTCATGTCTCCACAGGATCGAGATTGTTCGAGTGATTTCTGAGAAATTACCTTCTTTTCCCCGTGTTTCGCGTGAAACCCTGCCTCCTTCACAGAAAATATCGTTTTAATAAATTACGCCAACATCATGCACTGCACAAAGTAGACTGCTGAGGAAATTTACAACAGATTCATTGAATTATCTTCCTATGGGTTAATATTTTATAAATGACTTGACCATTTGTAGAACCATGCGAGTTCACGATTCGAGTGAATTGAGCTGTTGCTGCCATGACAGTCACCGGGGCAAATGAATCGTTTACCTCAAAAATCACATCATTCCAAACCTTTACTGCGTGTGGGCAGCCAAAACGACACGAGTCCTTGACTCAACATTACGTAGGTACCTGTAAAAACAAGACTAGTCCAGAAATAACTTTAGCTTTAAATTTTAGATGCAAAGATGTTAATAAAATATAGCTGTACCGAAGAATTAGACGCTTGTCAATTATCACCGTTAACACCAAATCATCACAAACATAATCACCATTTAATATTAATCGTCATAACTACAAAATCATTTAAAAGAAACAATTATCAGATTATGATAACCATAATCAAACCGTAATTTAATAATGTCATTATTGTCACCAAATAAGTTTTGCTTTCTCAAGCACCGGGCGATGAGGATTTAGAGGTGGGGCACTGCACTACATCGGTGACTGGTGCACTTTACGATCCGGTTGCTTTATCCTCGAAGACAGAGCCCCCGGCAGCCAATGGATAACTTGAACAGACTGTGGCAAAGAATCTCTTGCCCTGCCTAGGGTCGAACTCTGTTCGTCGTGCCAGTAACCAGTTATTGCACTGAGGAATCCAGATTCACTGGAGAGTGGGATACTGAATAATGAATAGGAAGGAATCGGTTGCGGTCTGCTTTGTGGTACTGGATCAGCATTTTCCTGCAGAACTACGAAAAGAGACAAAAAGTGTCCGTCGGGTTGTCTGGCTCTGAGCCGAGATCCCAACCAGAAACCTAAAGAACACGCAGCAATATAGCAACGTTCGGTCCAGTGTCCACAAGGCTGCGAAGAAATATTCTCAGGACTCGCCATACATTATGAGAAACGTCAACAATTTAGGTGACGTCACCATGGTCCACTCGGCGCGTGCAAGACGACGCAGCGTCCGATAAACCACGTTGCCAAGCGTTGTCACGATAACATCATTTCGCAGACAGGCGAAGTCACGCACGCCCAGGGACCTCAGCAGATGTCTGAATTAACTTCATTAAAAATACTAATTTAAATACACAAAGACAACGTTAAGATACAGTATAATCTATAGTTAGTAAAGGTGAATGCAATTAAACTGTAATTATATTTTACATGTCTGTATGTCAGGTCCCACAGTCTTCGAGTTTTTTTGAGCCCCGGGTATCAACCTACGACCCGCGAAACATTTTAACAATACAGGAAACATTGTCACCATTGTCCCAAGAAAAATTCACCATACTTCGTCGCCTTGAAAGCTTCAGTAGTGCTAAAATATTTGGTTTTCTAATTGTAAACTGCCGATGCATTAATACGGGTTTTAACCCGCGGACCGCCATTCGTGCCGGCCGTAATTGCAGGATTTGATGGCTGCTGTTGGGCAAGCTCCTAAAGTATCAGGATCACAGCGGAGCTGTGGTGGTCTGCTTTTCTCGGTGTCCCATCGACGGCCGAGGTGTCGTACTATAATAATTGATAACAATCAGGACTTATATGTGAGGCGGCACACATGAATCCAGGAAACTGGTAATTGTACGTGTGAAACAAATCCTCCATCTCTTTTAACAAAGAGCCCACTTTGTAATCACCAGTTACGGGACAACACAATTGATTTTCAATTACTGCTTGTGTACAGGAATCCCATTATCAGAAAGGAATTTGTTGCACCGAAAAATATTTGGCTTTCTGTAACATTAGATTTTTATTCTATCATGAGGGAAGTTCTGGAACCCAGAGGCTAAAAACTGCCAGCCAATCAAACTCTTATATATTCGCTTGTAAATATTGTTCTTTTGGTTAGTGACGCCGTATGGATTTGTAGGTATATACACCAACCTTGCGGAGAAACAGTGTCGACGACAGAGAAGGTTTTTCTGAAACAATGGCATCCACCTTCAAGTTCACGCGGAGATACCACCCAGAAGACGGACCTTGACATCTTCAAAGTCGGGAGAAATCTGATTCGCATAAACCCTCTTTAAAATCATTTGAGACGCTTTGGAAGCTTTTCTGTCATTTCGAGCGGGATTCTGGCGCAGTTGATCATAGTAAACGTCATTATTTCTTCGCCCAGAAGTGATTCATTAATGGAACGTATATACCCAATTTCATCAATTCTCCCAGTGCTTTATCATCAAATCTATGAGGGGCGATCATAGCGAATTTCAAGCAGGCCATGACAGAAAATGCAATTCACTGATAAGAACCGTGAAGAAAAATAATAAGAAACATTTGAAGTCGCAGCACTGCCATCTTTGCAAAATGGAGGTATAGCTTTTCACTTTGAAGCAAGAAACAAACGGAATACAATCAGTGGAGATAAGATAATTCCGAGCTGTTGATGCTGTACTGGACCACGGCACATAAAAAATTAGTAAATCACTGTATTTTCCTACATGCTTTCAGATGTCTCATGAAACCAGATTCAATGTAGCTCACACACCATTCACACGTAACTTCTTTGGGACATGACACCAAGCATTCGTATCTGCCACTTTGCTGCGGTTCGGAATCACAAATTTCGCTGCTTTCAAACACCCCTGGGATGGTAGTTCTTTGTTGGTGTTTCTGTCCAAACGCCATGCAATCATATTTGAAGAGGACATGACGGGAATTATGTGATACCAGTAATCCATCAGCTAGTTTCAAAAGGAGTGGATGCAAATAAATCAATCATGTCACATCTCAACAAAGTTTATATAGTTTTATTAATTTCAGAAACATGTCAATGCCTTTCTTCAAGAACCTGGAAAGATAAAAAGACAATAGTTTTTAAAATGTGTGCAGAAAAACATTTTCAGAGTACACAAAAAATATATTACAAATGTGTAGAGAAACAGTTTCTCAGAGGGAAATCGAATTTGTGCAACGTCTTTTTCGTGTAAAAATTAAATAAAAGGAGAGCACATTTATAAGTGTAGTGGCGTTGTAATTGTGTGTGCGCGAGCTTCGTCTCTCTGAAAAACACGAAGTAGCTCCGCACAATTTAGCTGTAGAATTGATTAATGCATAATCTGAGCAGTCGCTTAACATCGCCTAAAAAGACATTCGGGAAATTTATTTCAATTTAAACACAACCGTCAGTAAACGTAGGGCGTGTGGCAACGTACCATAATTTGGAAGAAGGTATTTCCAAATTAACGAAAAAGAATTCTCGGGAGAAAGTGAGAAGCAATGCGGCGAAGTTAATAGCTTCATCACACGGGTCTGCACTTATACTGGGACGCGACCCAGTGTTCGGTGTTAACGCCGAATCGGTAATGCATATTGCGACTATTAAAAACTAATATTTATTCACAAAAATATACATATTTACGAAACTGTGACAAATGGGGTTAATATGAATATCGAGACAGCCTGTGAAGTATTTTACGGTGGGTCTTACATCTATTCTAAGACGCCACTTGAAAACTACGCAACTATTCTTAACTTGATCGCTCCTCATTGTTCTTCGTATTGAAACGAAGTTGGAAATTCGTTCTCTTGAACAGATATTACTTTGCGAAACATATTTTGCACAGTTCATCATTACTGCGCGAAATGACTAACCTGTTAACTGAAAGCTCAAGATGGCTGCCAGCGTCGCTTTTCTGTGTCACTTTATAATTACTACATCTTGATAGAGAGACAGACTGTAATCGTCCGCTGATCGTAACTCCGGTCAGCTGTCGTCTCCGGGTGGGTGTTCGGATGTCTCTCTTCCCGAGGGCTATGTGGGTATCTCAAGGTGTATGACATTGGGTCCTAGCTCGTCGATGGGTGGACTCTTATCTCGGGTCGTGTTAACGGCCTGGTTCGCATCATCCAATAATAATTCGGACTGAAGTTTTAGGAAGTCACCACTATTTATTAACACTCAGTAATAATGAAGTTACAGAAGTAAAAGAATTATAAGTTTATAAGATGTCTCAGTCTAGCAATCAGTCACCTGCGTGCCTCTGGCACCTTCGCTATCGAGACTCCAACCAAGAATGATACCACATTTCCCCTGGCGCAAGGGTCCCGGGCTCGTTGCGAAGAACCACCCGTCTCTCATGAAAGAGAGAAACCTCTCACAGACCGCACAACGCGATCTCCCATATTTGCTCCTAAATGCAACTCTCTGACTAGTAAACAGAATCTAGCCAGAGCACGGCAATTAGAATCGAGATCGAATATTAAGCAGATCCCAAACATGCTTTTCTGCTCACGTAGCGTAAAGGCTACTTCTAGCACTTAGGGTTGAAGTCCACCTCCGTTCCAGGCACGTGGTGCTAAAATCTTAAGTATTGTTAATACAATACACAGAATTAATTAACAAACTAAACTAATGTCGGATGAGCGGTTACAAGACTGTGAATAAATTAGTGTGAACGATAGATGTGAAGCCAAAATATGATTCGGACCTAGCTGGCTCATCGTCAGTCCTATCAACATTAACAACGAGAACTGATATTAAAGATAAATGGATCATAATCTTTGCTACTGTGCTCACAATAAACGTTATCTAACCTTCCCAAATAACATATGCTCTGATCTGCAAACTTGTAACTTCCGAGTTGTCAGATTCTGGAAACAACAAACCTCCGTCGTTATCTTTGAGATGGCCAAGGACATGGCTGTTTTTGAAACAATAAATAAAACTGTCTCATATAAGGATCGCTGTCTTGCTATTTTTGAGATTTTTTAGACTTTGAAAGAGAAACATTTTCAGTTGCTGTTTCTTTGGTTTGGGAACATGGCGATGAGAAAGTTGTCTTTCTTGTCACAGCACCATAGGCCGTAAAGGACAGCCAGCGAGATCTACTCATCTGTTCGATGACAAAACGTCAACAGGATGCATGCAGTTTTCATCGGTCACGTTTTCCACAATTGAACTGACCGGCCGACCTCCAGCTGAGTCCTCAGGGTTCATTCCGAGCAATAAAACCCTCTAAAATGAAAGCAAATTTGAGCATTATCGCAAGTCGGTTACAGATTTTTGGTTCTTTTAATGGATGTTCCCAACCCCGCGAATGTTCGTCACCAGTCCTTATGAATACAGCCGTCTTGTTCTACGTCACCCCTCGAGTCTTTCCAGATCGGTCCCTGTTTCTTCCTCTTTTTATTCCCCAAACACGAAATATTGTGTTATAAGTTTTTAAAAATTCCCTGTTTCTTTTTGTTAACCCCGACTTTTAAATGGAGATTAAGCAGCCATCCGAACCAAGAGATAAGTTACAAAATGCTCTCCATGAACCAAATAAAATTTGAACTTTATTTTCATTTTCGCTATACGAATGTCGTGAAGATTACACATATATAAGACTTGAGGTTCTCACAGCGGTGAATATGAAGATTTCTGTCTTCTGGGTTATTGCGCTGTGTAGTCTGGTCGATGTTAACCAACGTTTCAGAGGTCATACTGCCTCCGTCATCGCCCTGATGACGGAGTCAGTATGACCTCTGAAACGTTGGTTAACATCGACCAGACTACACAGCGCAATAACCCAGAAGACAGAAATCTTCATTACACATATACTTCTTCAGATTTTGACGCCGAAAGAAAAGGTAAATCGATCCTCACGGATGAAATTTGGGAGGCTTCAAATCAAACAGAAATATTTAAACACAAAATCACCCGAATGTGACAGCAATGTCAATTTTAATAACATTTTTTGTTCTCTCTTCATATATTTAAAATAAAATTTATTAATTTTTTATTCAGATTGCGTCATTTCGGTCCATTCTTTATAATGACAAAGAATAAAAAATTGTAGCAAATCTTTTCCCCTATGTTCAAATCAACTCGCAGGAAATGGAGTTTAAAGTGGCAAGCCTTTGACATACGCATTGAAATCCTTCCGAGAATTTTAATATCTCGGGCAACATTCAAAGAGATGTGCTCTGTCGTTCAAAACACGAAAAAAAATCACATTTCTGTCAAAATTTGAACACTTCAATCAAATTTCACAACCAGTTTCCCCGGTATCAATATCGTGAAAATGACTTCGCTATAAAATTCGTGGGAGCCATGTTGAATAAAAATGAGAAACATACGTACCTCGTTGTAGACGGCCTTACCTTCGGTTAAACCGTTCACATACGACCCGAAAGAGTTGAAAATCTCCATTCGTACCGCGACTGTTCAGCACCTCGCAGACGATGTCATTTCGGGTCAATTACAAAGTGCAATAAATTCCTGGTACAAAACGACTGAAAAGTAACATCAGACAAGAATTCTTACCTGCTCGACCATCATCTCCTGGCACTGGTTCACGTGGCCAAACACATCAGAACCTTCGTATGGCCTGAAAAATGGATGACAGCTCAGATGTTACGTACGCAAATGTGGATTATTAAATTATCCCAGGGGAAAATGTCAACCTTCCTCCAGGGGATGGTAAATTTGCCGTACAAAATCGCTGCAGTGTTCTGGTTTGGAAGAATACAGAAAGCCACTCTAACACCCTTCCTTAAGTCACTAAATGCACAGCCTCTGGAACCTTGTCTTAAATCGTCTGGCAAAAAGGTGAACATAACATGCAGAGGCCTGGGGATAACAATTGTGTTGACGTCACCGAATTCCAAAGGAGATTCTTTTGTAACCACCGCCGGTGAGACAGACAATTCTTCGAGTCACAGTATTTCAAGATTACTGCAGATGTCCTGCACTTGACAAAATTCTGTGTTCATAACAACCTGCTGTCACATCAGAAAGAAATAAGCAAATTAATAAAAAATGTTAAATGCTGTTTTTCTACACAGATCTCTATAAATATCGTTAGAAATTTTTGGCTTAACATTCTTCACCCTCACAACAAATTATGTTTTCTGACAACTTTGGGAAGAGAAGGGATGACATGACCAGCATGATTTACGATCTGGAAGAGATGATGGTGCTTTACGTAATTTTGGGGGCTGGGAATGCTCTTCAAAGTTTGCATATAAAGTTGAGTCCAAAGAAACTCAACACTCACCTCGGCCAATATCCTTGCCGTGAATCGAACCAAGGTCGTTCAGCCAGTATATATAGTCACCCATTGTCTGAGCTTCGCACACACACACACACACACACATACATCTCAGAATTTCTACCATTTCTTGCACAACCACGACGCCCACCGATTTCTTTTTGTTTGCCTTCCAACACACCGATCTTAGCAATTTAAGAAATTCACGTTTCGAAATATCATCCTCATACCCATTGTCTTAAGGTTAAACTAACCGTCTTGCTGAACTGAAACATATGAGACAAGAGCCTATTTTGTTCTGTTCTTGTTTCAGCAAAACTGCCGTTACGATTCGACAGTTCATCGCGCGTTTCGACTGTTTGAGTACCAGTGTCCGTACCGAGATAAGACCACAGTAGTGGCCCACTCGGCCTGTCATTCTACAGACAGCCACCGAAGGCAAAACGGGGTCTTCAAAATATTAGTTGATCTGGTCACAACAAAACCCAAAGGAAACTATGTCCCGCCTGCTTCAACGACCAGCAATTAATTTTGTATTTAAGGGTTTAGTATGATTCTCAGTGTAAACAGTGATTCTTAACTTACACAGCATTTACGAGTTGATCTGTTTTTGGTGAAGAGTAGTGTTTTCTATGCAGTACGGACAGGATTAATAAATATTTTTACACGAACTTAGGTTTAAAAGGTTAAACGTGCTGCTCCGTAAATAGTACCCTCACGTGTTCTCTATTAATAATACACCGATAATATAAAATGGCGGACTCATAATTCCATAAGCATGGCTCTCTAACGTAAAAAAATTACAACCGCAAGGACTACAAGTTTTTCATACCAAACTACAATTTACCAAAACCAGTACTTCACCTTCACCTCAAGTTCGTTTCTAAATTTACAAGTTTATTTGTATAATTTTAATTCAACAACCTGGTTATAATGAGTTTCTACAAACTGATCATCATTCCCTGAACTTCTGACTCGTACAAGCTTATTCTGGAACCGGCGATTGATTGCATCTTAAAAGAGGTTAAGAATGACATTTTGCAACTTCGCCAGAGTAGCTATATAGAAATGTGTGCTTTTCATCAGAGTAAATAATGAGAACTTGCTGTACCACAACCACAACGGACGTCAATGCTTAGCACACTCACCTTGCATCAGAAGACCATCAAGGAGACGGATCCGCGTGCATTAAAATGGGAAAATCCCAGGGCGGACCCGTAAGTGCATGACTTGCTGATTCTAGGTATGCAGTTTGACATGTAGGAATAGGGGGCTAAGAGTGCGCAGGATGGTTTTTCAGCTGTTCGCAGCGCGAAACGATAAAGTGTTAATGCACAGCTGTTCTGAGTTGGCTTGTTTTAGAACGTGTGTTTGAGGTACAAAGTTCTCTTCGATTTCCTTTGTTATATTTCGAGTGCGTTACCCTCGCTCGTAAATCTTGAGGGCAGCAAGTTTAGGTTTTGATATTTTATCCTTTCAATGCCTTTTTGAAAAATATAGTAAACCGACAGATTCTGATAATGTATAGTGGGCTACCTAGGTTTACAAACATTTAATAATTCGTCCTTGTCGCTGTCGAGTGGTTGGCATTCCTACCTCGTATTCGTGGCTTCGTTTCACAATCCATTACACCAATTCACTATTTGTATTACGATTCCAAACAACTGAAAACGTCGTTAAATAAACCATACATAAATACAAATATCAGCCTTGACTCCACGCGGCCTGTCACGATGTTCAGGTAACAACGTGAACCTTTAGAAATTAGTCTCGTACTAGTGGAGAATATTGTAATTAAGAAATGTTAAGTATCTATGGTTCTCTTTGTTTGATCTTCACAGATAAATGAGTTTTAGTCGCATTTTAATCCGAAGTAGATGTTGGGACCGTGCGTTTATAAGACTATTAAAATTGTATTTGTCTTGCATGTTTTTCAATAAGATACGTGGCCAGTGGCTAGTCCCCCAGCAATGAAACTACGAATAACGCCAAGAGGTCGATGAATGTTGTCGCCGCTGGTGTCCAATCTTAAACCAAAATATAAACGAGTCAACAAATTTTATAAAATTCTCGAACATCATATTTCACCGAATTCTTCCCAACAAAGTACTCATATCCGAACGTGTCCTTGAAGTCCACGAGAATTTCGTAAATACCTGTGACGGCCAAGAGGCAAATGACATGCGCACACGAACACTACTATTCCTTGAGCGGAAAACGTTGGTCTGTGGTACAAAGAAATCTTTCACGCGTCTGTTACTGTTCGTAGCGACTTTATTCATTTAAATTGTCGTTATTATTTTACAATAGCACTCGTGTTATAAAATATCTCCTGTAAGTTTACATCAAATCAGAGAGAGCACGACGTTTTTCAGACAGGTAATAATGCAGCACGTGGCTTCCTAGCCAGCATTCGTCACTTGCATTTACTACCGCGGGCTGTATATTATCATTTCAGACGTCACTCAAATACACATACAAGCATGAATACATTCATTCACACACGTAATCCACCGACGCATTTAATCCCGCAAAATAATAAGAACCTGGATCCTAAAATGTTAATATTTGTCTTCCCCGTGCACTCTGGCAGGAGAATAGAAATACAGGACGGAACGCGCCATCCACTGAACGTCATTAAATCAGTGCCATGTCATCGCATCATCATCATCATCATCTGTGGCTGTACAACCCAGTGTTGGTCTTGGCTGCCTCTTCTGGAGGTTACTTAAACTATTTAGACATTTGTTAGGGGTTCTTGGACGAGGGATCGGCCCGTAGCAAGGCCTCCTCTACCTGTACACAGAACAGACCAGCACAACACAGAAAGACGCCAAGTCATGGCATGCACTCGCAAATTACAATCCGTTCTTCGGGCAGACAGTGGAGTCACGCAGTTGGACGACTCAAGTTGGCCAAACGATTCGCAGCGAGGGGAAGCTGGTCACTTTACTGTCTGGCATTGAAAATCTGTGGGGGAAGGCTTTTTCTGCTCCAAGTTGCATCCCCACCACACCACAGATTCCCCTCGCAGCAGATTCGCACAGGCACATCGCATGCCTCGTGGCACATACAGGAACTTCAGTTGCTAAAGCTGAAAGCCCTCCATGAACTTCGGAATAAAACAGCAACTTCTCCGCTTTTCATGCTCTTGGGAAGAAATTATAAACGTATAAATAAACTTTTTTACACATGAAGGCGCCAAATTTTAGTGGGGCCCGGCCAGCCCTTTCTTTGGCATGGGACGCACCAGTCAACATCTTAAAAGGAGGGAACATGTATTGAACGGGAACCCGGCTTTATCGGAACATTTCTCAGCTCCCAAAATTACAGACTGGTTACCAATACATCACTCTTTAAAATGGACAGAAAACTGGCCTTACTGAATAATCGAAGTTTCCCTTCCAGTACTGGATTTTGCTAACACGATAATGAATCATCAGATTCTAAAAGAAGGCTGGCAGTTTCTTAATTAGCTGAGCGATTATGCAGTTCAGAACGTTCCTCTAACAAATGGGAAATAAGTATGGCCGTCCGCCAAAAATTACGCGCAGAAAGAATACCAAAAAACGCTACTGGGAAAATGAAAGAGAATGTGAAATTGTCATCCTGTAGTGCATAGTATATAAGAATATTTACTTGTGTTTTATCACATAAACATAAATTATGTACTGTGTCCAATGTTCTTCTAGCGACTGTACACCTGTTAACGAAAACCTGTTCTGGTGCTCGACTAAGCATCACGCCATGCAGACGTAGGGGGGAGCGACGTACAGCTCCAAGCATTCTTAACCTCTGCAAGCCTCACGTCCCAGTCGCGTTATCTCCTAGGAAGTAAATAAAATTAGACAAGTTTTAACATAGCCATTTCTGGACATCAGGGAGGAAATCCTTAGTGCAGTGACAGAAGTAGGGGACTGAACCTGATGATGTCCACATTGGTTCGAAACATGTTGCTCAAGTAAGCAGTGTGTGAAAATGATGGTCAAAAAATAAAAAAATTCAACTAGTCACACAGTGTTATCCCGACTCCTGGATTCCTCTAAACCAGGCTGAAGTGTTCATTCATTTCAATGCAGGCACAAACTCCCCCAGGAAGACAGTTTAAGAATCATCGGTTTTACAGCTACAACGTCTACGCTGCATCAGACACTGCATGACTCTGAATGCTGAACTGTGGGATCAGTGTACAAAAATGCAAGGTCTCTGGCGCCAGCCACTGCTCCTACCTGCTATCACCCGTCGCACACTAACCGACTGTCTCACGTTCCTTCCCACTTGCCCCTGAGCAACCAAGTGATGGCCAAAGATGCAATTTCTCAGCTGATCGATAACAATTTCATGGAAGTTCAAGGTTCATTACAATGTTCACACGCCAACATCACTGGACCTCTTCCTGAACCAGTTAAACAAAGGATTTCAGGTTTCCACGGGAGTGAGTCTGACGATTTCTGTCTTCTGAGCTGTTGCGCCGTGTAGTCTGGTAGAACTTCAGACTACAAGGCGCAACAACCCAGAAGATAGCAATCGTCAGAGTCCGCAACCTCCCATCGTGTTCCTTTGGGACAGATTTTAACAAATGATATTTCATATTATGATGGCTGTCCTCTGGGTTGTTCACTCTCCGGCCACGTCACCTGCAAGAAACAGTGCGTTCACCCGTCACTTTCCAGCTTGAACTGCATAATACCACCAAGAACTGTAAGGTTTTTCTAGTACGAGGCAAGCATCGCTCCATAGGAACATAAAAACTTACCGATTGCAGTTCCTGCCAGGAGCCTGAAAGCGTCAATTGCGTTCAACTTCATCAATAAACGTGTACACGATCTCGATCAGGGGTCGGCAAACATTTTTCTAAAGGACCAAATAGTAGATATTTTAGGCTCTGCGGGCCAAGAGGCAAACTCGAGGATATTTGAATAGGTAAGCCTACTTATGTAACAAGAAAAAACAAGTTTTAACAAATTTATTGAACAAAATGTAACGTAATAATGTTAAGTAGACATGAATTGTTTGAAATACAGCTCTACTATTGAGAAGAATATAATTTCCTGTTTATGAGATAACATTTCACCACACTGAGGTTTAAATTCAGTACTCCCTATCATCAAAATTGACTGTAAATGCTGACCTGTATTGAGATTTTACATATTTCATCTTTGAAAATGTCTTTTCACACAGGTAGGTGCTGCCAAATACAGATAAAAATCCCCGAGCATATGATCTTGATTGACCGTATTAATCGCTTGGAAGACATTTATAGAATTCTTTCTCTCAACTCGGCCGTTTCGTTATAGCGCGTACTTTGAAATTTCAAAGAATTTGAATATGTAAAACCCGTTCTTAGCTCGCGGGCCGTACAAAAAGAGGCGGCGGGCCGGATTTGGCCCGCGGGGCCTTAGTTTGCCGACCCCTGCACTAGAACCAATAGACTTACTCGTACGTCACACAGCTTCTGCTACGTAATGGAAAAAGTGGCATGCAGAAATTGTCTGTCGCAGACTCGAACTGAACCCAGTTCACTAAGCACGGTCAGTCATTTCACTAGTCGAATTGTGTCGATCGAAAAGTGTTTTTTTTTTCAGTCTGGTTTTAGTCACATTTCAGAGGTGCCATCATCAGGGCGATGATGGAGGCAGTACGCACCTCTGAAACGTCGGGAAACTAACAGACTACACGGCGTTACAACCTAGAAGACAGCCAGCCACATGTTCGCAAATCTTACTTCTTGGAAGTAATTAGCTATGCAAACACGTAGTCAGGTTTTTAAAGCAAGTACGCAATCAGCAACATATCGCACGGTAAACAGCACCCACTCCTTGTGGTTAAATCTCACATGTATAAAAAGTACGTATCACAAAATCTAGTAGTTAAAACAGCTCTCGAAACTACAAATGCGCAAGGTCTTTCAATTCCCTTATTTTGAAAATTCAGTCACGTAGACTTCTTGGGGACTAGGCAAGATGTCGGCTTATGTCATTCAACTTCAGGTTTCGCGTCCTTATAAATTCATGGGAAGACTTTCTTGGCGTGATACAGCGAGAAGATGCAAGCCACACGATACCACTCCCTTACCACGCTACGTCACCCATGGCGTTTTGAACATCCACGGTCTTCGCAATTCGAAATCGTGTTGTGGGTAGCAGAGACTCAGAGCACATACCGAATATATGATTAAAAATTATACACACCGACTCCTGTTTTCGAACTGAGTGAAGCAGCAACATTCCAGAAACCTGGCAATGTCGCTGAAAAGAAATACACCCAGCAAAGACATTAGGCGGAAAGACAAAAGATTCCATTGCAGTGAGAATTCCCGGAATTTATTCTGCCCTCTGTTTCCTTGTGAGCACAATCTTTATGTAATCTTGATTCGCAAGAAAACTATTCGTATGCTTCTTCGGCATGTTTTGCTGTCCGTGTAAAATGGAATTCAGTTTGACAAGCCCACGTTGAAGGAGGGTTTACTGTAATAAAAGTTTTTCAGCAAATTCTGGAACAAACCTTTTGAAGATACACTAAAAAAAACACGATTTACATAAGTCTGATGGTAGATGGCGGACAGCCAAGCGAACTGAACAACACATACCCATTAGTTATTTAATTTTAAGCCTATGAAACAGCAGTTCTTAGCACCTGTCTCTCAGTCGAGAATTACATTTCATGTTACATAATTCCTATTTTCTTGGAATCGAGCAGGAAGAAGGGTGAATATATCTAGAAACGATGCAGACGAAAAGAGTTCAGATAATTACTTCGCAATTAATATAACAATATTTTTAAAATATGTGCAGTTTGTAACAGGCAGTCTAATTTAATAAATATAATTACGCCATCCAAATGAACTTACTCATAAAATAAAAAATAATTATTTATTAATAACAAAAATACAGGAAACTACAATGAAAATCCAAACCATGTACAGTGGGTAAAAAAGTATTCATACACAATTATTCCTTTCATTACATCGAGCAAATTTATAGTAACAATTCATTTATGAAAATATAAATATAACGTCACAAACATAACTTAACATGTCATAAATAAAATAAAAAAACAGTATATTTAAGCCAAAAAAGTATTCGTACACGTAGACATTACAACAAAATTATTAAATATTCTTGAACATAAACAGATTTAGTACTTGCTATGAAGGCCTTTAGCATCAGTTATTGCCTGATGTCTTCTTGGAATCAAACTAACAAACTCGGCAGTCACTTCTTGGCCTATTTTATACCATTCCTTCATCAAATTTTCAATGAGCATTTGCATTTCCTAAATTTTGTTTCCAAAACTGACCAGAGATTTTCTATCGGATTAATATCTGGAGATTCTGGAGGCGTTTCCAGTAAACCACGAGCCATTCTCTTTTTACACTGGCTGTGTGTTTAGGGACATAATATTGTTGAAACAAATACAAATTTCGTGTCCCTAATTTGTGAACACTCTTCTTTACATTTCTCCGCAATATGTTCACGTGTCCCTAACACATAACCCCTGTCCTGGGCCAGCAAAATCCAATCGCCTTCAACTTCTATCTCCCACAGATCCCGTTGATATTATACTCTCATCTACGTCTAGATCTCCCCAGCGGTCTTCTCCCTTCAGGCTTCACCACCAATATCCGGTGCACACCTCTTATCCCATCCATGCACGCCACACTCCCCGCCCATCTCATTCTTCTCGAGTTCACACATCTCTTAGCTGTCAGAATCCCTTCAACAATTGCAAGTTCTTCCACACCTGCGTAGGTCTTACCGCCTCAAACCATTGTGTGACCTCTTCCATGTTTCACTACTGGTATATCGCCAAACGTACTGAATACCATCAGAGCTTACATCAGAGAATAAAACTGTTTTCCAGAAGTCGATACGCGCGTGTGAATCCCACCCGTGTCCTCCTGTTTCGTTCATTGTCAAAGGGATCTTCCTTAGTATCCGCTCTCATGGAGGCGATTTCGAGTGGTCTGAAGGCTGACGTGTTTACTAGTTGCTGTAGCGAGGGTCTTCTGCCTGTTTTCCAGCACTTGTTTTCGGATTTTCAGACACTTGTTGAAGAAGATTCCGAGAACCTCTTGTAGACAAAATTCTTGGTCGGCCCGGTAACTAATTATTTTCAATGGAATTTGTTGTCTTACCTTTCTAATTACGCACTGAACGGTGGCAAATGATGTGTTAAGCAGAGTTCCAATTTTATGGTAATTTAAACCCTGTTTAAATAACGAAACTATCTTATCTATGCAAACAATCTTTAGTTTAGCGACTCATATTAATAGCCAATATGCTTCAATGGACTTATTTTCATTTATAAGCAAGCGAATAAAGGCAAATGATTGATACGCTTAGGAAATAGTACTGACCAGCATTCAGACAAGAAAGCCTAGAGTTTGTAAACATAATCTAATGTATGAATACTTTTTACATTTAAATGAAGATATTTTTATGTTTACTGAAAGATCAACATTTCTGGACTCTTTTACTATAAATTTATTATTATTAATTATATATAAAACAAATTTTCTAGCAGATCATTAAAAGGAATAACAAGAACAGTGTATGAATACTTTTTACCCACTGGATATCCGGGGTTAACAACTCGCGACCCAACGATGCGGCCCGCATAATTTATGAAATGCCGAGTTATTTTGTACGATGAAAAATATTTTTTGGACTCGAAGACACGTGTTGTTCATGTCGTCAGTACTTGGCGGACATCTCATGGGTAACTGTACAGCTTTTAAAAAACACACCAAAAAATAATAAAGTCAGTCTTACTGATGAACATTTCTAACTTGCATGTAAATCGCAGTTAACACAAACTGAACTTTCTTTTTGCGATATTTGTAAGGCAAAAGCAGGCAGCTGTCTCAGTAACGACTTACTGTGTCAAGGAAAATAATTGGGTAAATATGTGAACCTGTCTGCAATAGCTGACTGAAGTTAGTGGCATCTTTAATAAATTACCACTAAGTTAAATTGTGCCCCACAACCTTGCAGCCTGCGAGTCGATAAGG